TGTATGAAAATCACCCAATAAAACCAATGAAAACAAAGCCTAAGAGATGTCTGCACTTGGTAGCTGATATTTTGGGAGGGTTAGAATGCTTTATTTAATTGGAAATAACTCCGAGTAAGTCTGCCTCTGCAGTCTTCCATTCTGTTTACTATAGTCTAGTCTTAACAAAATAACTTAATGGATCAGCCAAGTACTTGGTTAGATTCTGCACTAAAAATTTGCCTTTTTTGGTTGTTTTTATAGTAATTATTCTATTTCAGAAACATTATTGATACCCAACAAAGTAAAATTTGCATAAGCACGAGACTGCAGTCATAATGAATGAATTATTGTACTATTGTATTATTTGGTATAACAATAACCAGTGTGATTGATTTTCAATTCGATAAAAATCTAATCTGAAGGACTTGATATGAGCTGTGAATTAGCAAAGTGATGGTACCAGAATCTAATAGAAGTAAAGTGAGTGTTAGAGAATAAAAGTTTCAGAAGGTGGACATCTTGAAAGTCAGCTTTATGCTTGGGAAAAAAGAAAGTTATTTGCTAGAGATGCACAGTTGCCATTCCATCTTTAGAGTGGAAGGCTTATTTTGAAAATAAGAATACCTTCAGAGACCTCAGATTTTCCATGTCTTTTTAGTAGAATATGAGCATGGATATTCTGTATTGGATATAATAGTATAGAAAAACCTATTCAGATGTGTTACCTTGTGCTGAACAAGGATTGAAAGGATGTAGTGTAATTAAAAAATAGTGAGACTTTATGACAGGCGGCAATTAAACACTATATATTGCACTTAGAAAAGCTTTTATTGCTGTCTCTACCCTATACTTGCTCTGAATGCTGGAAGCTTTATTTTCAAAGTTGTCACTTTGTACCTCTGCTGGTGTTGCATTTAATTTTCTGCTGTGATAATTTTATTAATATTCATTATTATACCCTGATTATACTATTATTATTGTTAGCTAGAATTTTCATGCATTTAGTGCAATCAGAATATTCTTTCAATGTTATTGATGTTACAGAGAGAATAAATTCTCTTCAGCAACCCGTCAGATTTACAGTGTGGTGGCACAGCTTCATCAGTTGAAGATAAAAGCAAGCTATTTTGTTCACTGAGGATTTATATACAAAGTACTTGATGAAAAGATTCATTTCCTGCTTGAGAGGCCCAGCAAACATGAAGAAATTTATAGAATTAGGTACTACTGCTTCTATCTTGCAGGTTATACTGATGAACTGCTACTTTCAGCTGGGTGGAGTCATGAAAAGGATATTTTATGTCTAGAGAAAAGAGTTACTTTTCACTGCTGAAAAGGGTGTGTTGGGCTTTTAAAGATAGGTAATGGGTGTTGGCTACCTTTCTGTAAAATCCTAGACATAGCCTGAGGCTCTAAGTCTTCTGAAGGCAAATGCACATCGTGATGATTTGGGACAGTTCCTGTCTGGAGTTATGATTTAGAATGTCTAAACCTGCATGTGGCCAAGGCAAGGAAACAATGAAAGAGCTGCAGTCCAAGGAAATGAATTTGACCATGACCAAGGCTTTGCTGATTTTTTTTTTTTTTCCCTCTTTTTTCTTTCTTCAGAGATTGCAGCAATTGGGCTCCTACTCTCTCAGCCTCAGTACTTTTATCCTGGAGGAAATAAGTCAGGTGTTTGTACTTGACTTTAAAACACAGATGCTGAAGAGTTGCAGGTAAAGGAGGACTGAATGGGGGAGAGAAATGGGAATGTAGGTTATCTACAGCCAGTATGGCTGGTGTTTTCTGAGTGTGAATGGTGTTTGCAGGATCTAAATAGTGTGCCCTTCCTACATGTGTTCATCAAATCCAGTGCCCAGCGCTTTTTAGAACAAGCTTTGGATGTACAAGAGCCAGCCTGATAGATGAAAAGGGCTACCACTCACTGAAATAAGTCCATTTGGCTAATAATAATCTAGACACTATGAGGAAAAATTATATATATGAAGGTATTTTACAGGATATTTCTTGTGAATGCTGAACTATATATAAAATGGCTTGGTTTGGGAGGGATCTGAAAGATCATCTAGTTCCAACCACCCTGCCATGGGCAGAGTTGCCAACCACTAGATCAGACTGCCCAGGAACCCATCAAGCCCGGCCTTGAATGCCTTCAGGGATGGGGTATCCACAACTTCTGTGGGTAACCTGTTCCATCCAGTGCCTCACTGCCCTAAGTAAAATGATTTAGTCCTTTTTAATCATGATAATTTGGTGAAGGGTAGACTGTAAGCCAGAATCATCCATGGATCTGGATTTCTGGAACATGGTATTTAGCAATATTCCGTATAGTCAGTGGTCCTTAAGCAACTTGCGACAGATAGCTTCTTTTCTCTACGGGAACCTGTCAGCAAGTGTCAAAAATGCACTTGCAGTCACATGGATCTCAAGATGTGATGACTCCATGGATATCCATCTCATGTGGGATGTGGGACCATGTGGGACTTGTGACAATGCTATAAAGTGTGAGAAAATTTACATTAAGTGAACTGTGCCATGGAATTGCGCCAAGTATATTCTAAGCATTCGCTTGTGCAAGGTTTGTTCCTTCTGATGTTTTTAGAGAGCAAGTGCTCAAGCTTTCTTCATGTAAGTGATTTGAGGATTTGTTGTTGTTGTTTTTAATTATAATCTTCATTATTAAGATCTTCTCTGGGGACATAGTCATCTCAAATGCAAGAAATCACACCGGAGGACATTCTTGGTATTTCACTGGTGCTCTGTGGCCTGCATAATTAGTTAGGTGGTAAGACCCATAGATAAGTGTTCTCTGTAGGCAGAACCAGGCTGATCTTCTAAAGAAGTGTGGGGTAACTGCCCTGGAAATTTAAGGAGATGATGGTGATGGATTAGGAGACGCTGACCATGTGAGCAGTTGAGTTGGGATCCTCAACATGAATTCATTTTCAGCCTGACTGAAAGCAATCTTGGACTGAAAACTGGATTAGTGGTGTATATATTTCATGCCTTGATAAGAAGGGGACCCTTAAGAAAGAAGTGAAGCTGGGTGAACAAACTGTATCCTTACTGAGCAGATGCAAATCTTTACATAGCTGTTAATCATATGTTGATCTGATAGGTATTAAGACCCTGAAATCTACATCATCCGTCCATCTCTTGCAGTTAAGAAGCATGGTAAGAGGAAAACATCCTAAAAGCAGCAAGTATTAGGCTCTCTTATACCTTCCCCACCCCTCTATCACTTACTGAGGTGTGACAAAACCTGACAAGTCTAAGTTCATTAGTCTCTTGAGTTGGAATTGAATCACCTAGATGCTAACAGTTTTGTGTGGGATGCTCAAATGGCAGAGGATCTGACATCAGCTGTTCAGAGAGAAACACAGGTTTGGAGCTGTCTGATTAACTGGTTTGTCCTGAAAAGTGTATTGGAAGGCTACAACATGTTTGAGTGACATATGCTGAGCTGTTTACAACTTGTGTGCACTTAAGGCAGATTATTGACATCTATCTCTCTCAACTTTTGTGTGAGTCTGAAGAAACAAAATCAAAGCTAGCTGCATATTGCTGGTCCTTGTTAGTGTTTCTGTGCAAAACTCTTCTTAAGTTGAAATATTTTAATTGACCGAGTAACCTCCCCTTTGAAGACAGAACTTCTTGGCCTTAAATGTTA